ACTTGTAATCAACTAGATACTTGCATAAAACATTTTCTGCTAATTTTATAAAAAAGAGGATCCACAAAAACATTTACTGAGTGTGTGAGAGTTGCCTCAGTAACTTATGAGTTACTCTAACACTTTTACAATACTCTAGTCACTCAGACATTGCGTTAAACACACGAACAACCATGCGAGATTTCATATTACCTTTATTTCACAACTTTGAAGTTTTAGGTTCCTTTATACATTATCTTTGACTTTAACACTTCATTAGAATCTTGAATCTTCTCTCTGATTAGGCTTGAGATAACTTCAAGATAAGCATCACCATCGAAGACAATTGGAAAAATATCACTAGGGACCAACATGATCAAGAAAATGATCCATCGAACACCAGAGTCATCATCAAAACCACCATGATCAACACATGATCAAAAACGTCAGTTGCAGTCTACTGTACCTGCAAGCACATATATCCACATAAGGTACTTTTACACCCATATGGTAAATCTTGAACTTAAGGAGACAAGACAATCCTAGTAACAATTTGATGGCTACAAAACGGGAAATATGAGAAAAAGGTTTCATCAAAGTTACTCCTTTGATTTGAGTATAGCCTTGTGCAACAAGACATGCTTTATTTCTAGTGACATTACCAGTCTCATCAGACTTATTCTTGTAAGTTCATATAGTGCCAATGATATTTGAGAGTTAGGTCTACAAACAAGATGTCATACCTCATTTCTTTCAAACTGAAAAATTTCTTCCTACATAGCATTGACCCAATATTCATCATTAAGGACCTTTTTCACATTATTGGATTCAATTTTTCAAATAAAACACTTATTGGATCTCCAATTATATTTTCAAGAGGATGATTATTTTTAATCCTTGATGACAGTCTTTTATTTTAAGGAGTATTATCTTTATCATTGCTTGAATCTTCATCTTCTTTAGAAGACTGTGGATTTTTAGCTTTATTGTTTGGAACATCTTGAGCAACATTTTTACCATGGAGGGCATACTCTTCGACTTCATGTGGGATCACTTTAGTTTGATCATCATTAACAGTGCTATTTATGGATTCCATCATAAATTCGGTTACCTTGTTAAACACAAGGTGTGCCATGTTGTTAATGGAATGCCCAAAAAGATTCCTTCATCATTTTTAGATCAAGCTTCCATATTTATTCTCTATATGTAATAATATAGAAAATAATATCAAACTTGTGAAATTGTTTAACGTTTTGATTCATCCTCATCCATAATTTATTATTAGTAGCCTTCACACTTGGTAGAGATATTCCTCGATTGTGAATATGACAAGCAATATTCATTACTTTAGTCCAAAAATAGTACAAAATTTATTTTGTATGAATCATAACTCTAGGTATTTCTTACAAGGTACATTTCTTCCTCTTGACAACACCATTTTGCTGAGGTGTGATGGGAGCAGAAAACTCATGAGCAATTCCCTCAATATAGCAGAAGGTAGAGAAGTTTGAGTTCTCAAGTTTCCTTCCATGATCACTTCAAATACAAATGATCTTGCCAATTTCTTCTCCTTTTCACGACATAAGCAATGATACAGACCCTTAAAAACAACAAAGGTATCAATTTCTCATAGATGAAATTAACCCAAGTGTATGTGAATTAATCATCAACACATACAAAGACATACTTCTTTTTCTCCAAGACTCTGAACTTTCATGGGTCATATGAGATCCATATGAAATACCTCAAGCACACATGTATTGTAAGATTGAAGTTCTTTGTTAAATGATCATTTGGATTGACTGTATTTTGAAAAAAAAAACATGGAAGAAGTGTTCAAAGCGTTCAAGTTGATATGGCTTTCCTAAGTTGTAAGGAGGTGCAGAAGGGACACATACTGGATACAATGTCTCAACATGTTTCTACGGCATCTGAGCCTTGCGCTTCAGAATTTGGCTGCTGCATTTTGGAAGATTCCCTGATCAAATATTGGATCAGATTGTATTGTTATTGAATTAACAATATGATTATGTGATTTGTTTGACAACTGTGAAGATCAAATCATATTTAAATTTGAATTTGTAACAAACCAAATTATATCTTTTTGTTGGATATATTCAAGGAACAAATCAAATATCCAACATAATATGTATCATTTCTGGACGAAATCAAATCAAATATCCATGAAGAAAATCCCAAAAGAAATATGATATATAAGGATATCACAACCTTCATTGGAATTCAAGCATTCAAATTGAATATCTTAGAGTTCTAGATTTTGTGTCTTGTATTCCATGCTAATTCCCTAATAGGATTAGTGTAGAATCTATATGTACACCTCTATGTTTGAATAACTTGGCATATAAGGTTTTTTTTTAGTTGATTTGTAAAATTCAATATCATTCATCTTGTTGATTGAAGTTGATCACCGGGATTTAGTGGTTGTAATCACCAATCACAAGTTGTGTGACAGAGAATAAAGTGATTAGGAACTCAGATTTAGGGGGAGGCTCTAAATAGATAGTCATTGTGTAGTGTTAGTAAGAGGCATTGAACAACTTGGGTATGTTGTTGCTTGTAAGTCTAAATGTACTAATCTACTAATAGTGAATTTACTTTCTTTGGGTTCTAGACTCAACCCGCCAAACATAGTTATGATTTCACCGAACTGGGTTACCAATTTTGTGTTATTTATTGCTTTTTATATCCATCAACTTGTACAACTCATTTGTTAAAAATGTGTTGGTTCTGGTTTAAATTTTCAAACATGTTGTTGGAGCATGTGTTCAACATCTCTCCGTGAGGAACAAAATTTCAATTGGTATCAGAGCAGGCACCCTAACCTGTTTGGTAAGCTCTAGGGAAGATAAATTCTACTCTAATGAAGGATCAGTTAATAAACCACTAGTTTTGGATGTCACCAACTATGATTATTGGAAGTCAATGATGATTGTCTTTCTCAAATGCATGGGAAACAAAGTATGGAAATATATGGTAAAATGATGGAAACATCCAATGGTTTCTTCTGAAGATAGTACAATCAGGTTGAAACCAAAAGTTAATTGGATTGATGCTTAATATGGTTTTGAAATTTTTTGACAATTTAAATCAGAGTTTGAAAACATTTTTTAAGTCTAAGCAGCGAAAATAAAATATTTAAAGTGCGGAAATTAAAAAGTTAAAGGAAGAAGAGGAAGACTAGGATTTATAGGGGTTCAGTCAAAAACAAAAAGGGCACAATCCTCTCCTCAAGACTAGGTCTTGAGAGTTTCCAATAATACTTGAGAGCTTTTAGTAGGAAAGGCTCAAGAATCCCCTTATACAAGGAAATGGTAGTTGTCCTACAACCAAAATATTACAAGACGAATAATATGAGCGTTTGCATCTTTTCTCTAATAACTTGTTGAAACTGAGGTGGCCAAGCTTCATTCCCAATTGTAGATTTAAGCGGTTAGTTTTCTCTCTACGAACACGGACCTTGTAGAGGTCAGTCTTTAAGTTCCAAAATATACCTAAGCTCGATATTGGTTTAATAGGATAACCAAACAGCCTTTGAGATTTTAACCGGGTTAATCTCAAACATGTGAAGATTTTTATATCGACTAATCTTAAACCTATATATATATATATATATATATATATATATATATATATATATATATATATATATATATATATATATATATATATATATATATATATATATATATATATATATATATATATATATATATATATATATATATATATATATATATATATATATATATATATATATATATATATATATATATATATATATATATATATATATATATATATATATATATATATATATATATATATATATATATGAACTGATCACACAATCACCAACCATAAGCTTTTAACGGGTTTAGAGTCGAACCAAATATTGAATTCCTATTTGGACAATATTCATCCAAGGTTTATAAGCTTAGTTACCTTGGTGAATGTATACAATTCTTCAGGATCTTGCATTCCAAGTGGAAACAAGAATGCTTAAGAATAGCCATCCAGAAGAAAACCATTGGTGGACTTTAGAAGGTATCAAAGGAGGTTGCATCAACCATAACAAGTTTAGAAAATGAGGTTTCATCACTAAACTCCAAAATAGATAATTTGATGTTGTTGGAATTTTTTTAAAAACTAGCTTAAATTCACTTGATGGGACGATGGAGTTTGGACAAATGTCCGGTGATATGAAGAGAATAGATCTTGGGAAGAGCATGAAAGAGATGAAGATTTCCTCGAAAAAGGTTTTTAAATTTGAAAAAGAGACTAAGGTTATGATATTTGACCACATGTCTAAGCATCGTGCTTAACTTGTGTCATCTCAACACTATAGAAGAGAGAGACTACATGTGAAATGTCACTATTGTGGTAAAGTTGGACATATACAGTCTCATTTCTATGAACTTCATGGATATCCTTATCAGTATAGTCTAAAGAAGCTAAGAATCAGAGGATGCAAGAAATTCCATGTCAAGAAAAAGTATGCTACTTCAACTGGATCCACAACTCAAACAACATGCAGAGGTTCCTCAAGCGAAAAACAATTTTATATCAGTGGAGGTACCATGGATATGTCTAGAGAAAAGATAGATGATATCTCTTCTAGTTATAAATCAAATAAAAGAATCAAGGGCTTAAGGAATTTGATCATTTCTAGACAAGATCAAATGAGGAATACAAACTTCTCCAATTCCAAAGGTAGCGTCACCAACAAAGGGAAATAATTTATGATGAATAAGGTCATATATGAGGAAGACATTAGGAGCTTTCAAGACCTCGTGATTGATAAAGCTGATATGTATGAAGAGGAAATAGCAATTAATATGTCAGAATATATGTTCCAACATCTCACTCAAGAGTCTGAATTATCTCATGAGGATTGTGTCATTGTAGGGAAGGTTGATGGTCAAGATGGAGGTCTTCCAAACTTTGAATAACATACTTTGGTTAGGAAGAATAATGGTTATGGCATAGTTCATCCTAATATTATGTCTTCTCATAAGTCTGGATGTTTGATTAATCAAACACATGATTGGTTGATTGGTGAAACAAATGTTGATGTGTTGAAGTCCAGTCACATGATATATGTATCAAACAATTTTCTCAACATTCCTATTGTTGATAAGTCTGATATTTTTTCTAGTAGAAGTATGAGAATTTTTCCACTCAAGTTAGTGTCTATGAGAAATATTCACGTCACTCATATGACTTCTGATGAAGACTCCCAAGAAACAAACTTGAGAAATCTTGATGGTGATAAGGATGTGGCATGCATCTTGTACGACATGTTGAGAGAGCCTCAAGTGTATAAGAAGAATGAAGATCATGTACATGAAGATGCTGAGGTTGATAGTGTTGTACCTGATGGTGTTTAAGATGAAGGTGTGATAAGTAAGAATGAAAACATTCTTCTGGATTGTGTTACTAATAGAAAGAATTTGAGATTGGTATCAAAGAACACATAATCTATGGATGATATACCTCCTTAAAATGACAAAGATCAATCCATAAATGGAGATAATGAGAAACAAGTTGTTACGTTGGTATCTGCTAAAATAGATGTGAACAATAACTAGAATGATACTTCTAATAGTGTCACAATAAGAGAGTGTGAGGATCTGATTATAGACAGTATGATGGAAAGAAAGACAATACATGAGTTCAATAAATCCTGACTGAACTTGGATTCAGCATGATAGAATATGTGAGCTACCTTCCTGATTTTTAAGTTGAGAAAATGAAGGACTACTCATGTGACTCACAAGGAAGAAGATGCACTCAACTCTGGTGTAGTCAACCAATTCTCAAAGATGTCATCAAAGGTGATAAAGAAGTTGTTATCCAAGATGTTCGAAACATCATGAGTAACATAATGGTAACTAAAGTCTCATCTCAAAGGGAGGATGAGCAAGTTGCTGAAGCAAATGCCTTGGTCATTGTGTTCAGACTAGATGGCAAAAGGTTTCCCACAAATAATAAGGAAAGAATGATGAATGGGATATGTTTGTACTACAGAAGTATAGGTATTCAAAATAAGATGTCAATAAAAGTGTTGACATTTGAAGAAGTGGTACAACTGTTGAAAGAAGTACGTGTAACTGATTAGAAGAACCTCATGATGAGTAACACTGATGACAATGTAGATAATATAAAGAGATCTTTGGATGAATCCCTCCCTCTTATCAACAACATCATATATAGGATAGGAAACTAGCAAGTTTATGTAATCTTGTCATCTAATGAAGTTGAATATAGTTATGCGGTAAGCAATGGAAAGGACTTGATCTGGATTAGTTAGATGTTGAAGGAGTACAATATAGGACAAGATGTCATGACATAGATTTGGGACATTCTCACAAATAACATCTCAGGAAGTACTAATGTTGTGCTCCATGTTGGAGCATTAGGCAAGACATATGGCCCTTGTATTTGTGTAAATAGATTTGACTGTTATTATACTTGTGTTAGTAGATTTTGTATATCCTAACTACTAACTATTTGTGTTGTGCATGAATAACTTTGTGAATGATTGCATTCTAATGATTATTAGTTAGGAGGATTGTATGATATTAACTATGTGTTGACTGGGCACATGCATGACTAAGTCTATGAATGATTGTATGTTGAATTGTTTTTTGGTTTGGAGCAACTGAATGGATTATGTGTCAACATATGATCTTTATGCTACTGACTTTTGCTGCTACTGTTGTGCTTAACTCTGATAAATTAAAGAAGGTTGTTGCTGCTAATTATATGCTCGGATGAAGACCAATGATTCTACTGGTTGATGAAGTCCAGTGTTCCAATTGGCTATCACTTATTCTCACTTGAACAAAGTGCTATATCTTGAAGAGTTGAACAAAGTGCTATATCTTGAAGAGTTGTTTTTCCATAATTTTCCAAAGGGGAAGATTGAAGTTCTTTGTGAAATAGTCCTTTAGATTAGTTGCATTTTGAAAAACAACAACATGGAAGAAGTGTTCAAGTTGATCTAGCTTGCTTAAGTTGTATGAAGGTGAAAATGGTACACATGATGGACATGATGTCTGAACATGTAGCTATGACATCTGAGTTTTGTGCATCAAAACTTGGCTATTGCGTTTAAGAAGATTCTCTGGTCAAAGATTGGATCAGATTTTATTGTTATTAAGTTAACAATATGACTATATGATTTGTTGGAAAAATGTGAAGATCAAATAAGATTTAAAGAGATTTAAATTTGAATTTGTAACAAACCAAACCATATCTTTTTGTTGGAGATATTCAAGGAACAAATCAAATATCTAACATAGTTTGCATTGTTTCTGGATGAAATCAAACCAAATATTCATGAAGAAAAGCCTAGAAAAATATGATATCTGAGGAGCTCACAACCTGCATTAGAATTCAAGCATTCAAATTGAAGATCTTAGAGTGCTAGGTTTTGTGTCTTGTATACGGTGCTAATTCCCTAATAGGATTAGTGTATAATCTATTTGTACACCTATATGTTTCAGTAACTTGGCATAGAAGGTTTGTCTAGCTGAGTTGTAAAATTTAACATCATTCATGTTGTTGATTGAAGTTGATCACTATGGTTTAGTAGTTGTAATCACCTATCATGAGTTATGAGATAGATAAGAAAGTGATAAGATTATCTAATTTAAGAGAGCCTCTAGATAGAAAGTCATTGGGTAGTGTTAGGAAGAGGCATTGAACAACATGGGCTTATTGTTGCTTGTAAGTTTAAATGTATTAAGCGACTAATAGTGAATTTTATTTCTTTGGGTTTTGGACTCAACCCTCCATACATAGGCGTGGTTTCACCGAACTGGTTTACCAATTCTCAGTTTTATTAATTTCTTTTCACCTCCATCAACTTGTACAACTCATTCGACTCAAATTGTGTTGGCACTGCTACGGAAAACACATATAATTACAGTTGTGAAACACATATAAGACGACTGCACATCCATTTCTAGGTAACGTGTGATGTATGTATGTTGGTTACCACAACGAACATATGACTGTGGTTATAAATTAGATAGCTTATTACTTCTAACTACAGGTCACAAAAACAACCGTTGTGAAATAGTTAATAGGTCCTGGGTTTGAATTCTAGCAACGCTAATTTTGGGTTTCATTAATCTGGATAGTGCTCTACTTATAACAACTGTTGAATTTAAAATATTTGTGATATTATTTGTTTTTTAAAATATATTTTTCAATTTTACAGAATTCCCAATTTTTTAACCTGAATATTTCTTAATCGTATGATACTAGAAACAACAATACATCCATTTGTGAATTGAATTAGACCAAAAAATATATTACATCAATGACACAATGCCATTAGGAACTAAAAATTGTATATTACATCAAAACCAAAATGATACAAAACAACCTACAATATATACATCATTACATCAAATAATACTATCTTGTTGTCTTGGTGTATTATCTCTTAGTGTCTTGACATTAAACACCTATAATTCAAATAATAATAGTTGCTAAAAATTAAATAACATCATTGGAAATTATAACATACAATAAATCATTAATGAAGAATATAAAATACTTATTAATTTTCCAATATGCCTTCTTGATGATTGTTATGAATAACATGCACATCATCTATATCAACTTCTTCATATGAATTAGGAACTTGTGTTGCGTTAGAAGGAGTGGAAGAAATATCAAAACTTTCATCGTCACTATGAGGAATATGTTTTCCTTTGAGAATAATTGACTATCTCTATAATAAGTCTACAGAGTCTGTCACATAAAAAATTGTTTTGGTTGAGTAGCCATGATGAATGGTTTGGTCTTATAAGTTGCCTTGCCAAGGTCAACCCGTGTGAATCCTAACTCATCAGTTTGTACACCGTTGTTATTGGGAACCCACTTGCATTTAAATAAAGGCACTTTGAAAATAACATAATTAATCTCCAAAATCACCTCAATGACACCATAGAACACGATGGTTGCTAAAATAGGATTCTTATCTTTCCAACTAGAGAAATATATGAATTCGGCCTCAACCATAACCCTATTGTTTTGCACTGTATTACGATCATCTTTTGCTTTTGAATAAAAGGAATAATTAGAAATGTCGTATATCGTCCAAGTTATCAGAGTAAATTTTGGCATGTACGATAACTATTTAATTCTCTCAAACACACCATCATCATTAGAAATCATCTTATTAAACTAATAAATTTCTTGTTATGTTGTGTCAACAACCATTTATCATTCATTCAGGAATATTTTGTCTTTATAATTGTTTTGTGTTATACTATGTAAGGTTCAACTACAATAAGATTATTTAATATATAGAAAGGTGCTTCAAGTACTACACCTTGAGTACATGTACCTTGAAATTTGGTAGCATGACGAGACCTTGGATTTCCAATATATTCTAGTTCTGACAAATAGTTTGAACAAAACTCAACAACTTATTTTGTGATGTACCTTTCAACGATCGAAGATTCCGGTCGGTGATGATTCTTCATATATCCTTTAAATGTCTTCATGTATCGCTCTATAGGATACATCCACCTTAAACTATATGGACCACAAAACATATTTTCTCTGACTAGATGAACACGTAAGTGAAGCATAATGTCAAAAAATGATGGAGGAAAATACATCTCCAATTGACACAATATTATTGCAGCCTCATCTTCTAATTCATCTATTTTTTTTTGAAATAAAGAACTTAATTAAAAATATCATAGAAGAGTAAGCACAATCTGGTTATAATTACTTTTTAATTTTTTGGAAGGATGCCACAAATAGCCACTAGTAGAAGTTGTTGCACCAAGACATGAAAATCATGATATTTTAAGCTAATTAACTTGATATCTTACATTGATACAAGTTTCTTAATGTTTGAAGATTAACCATGGGGAACTTTGATACCATGCAAACACTTGCAAAAACTATTCTTCTCCTCATTAGATAGAGTGTGACATGCCAGAGGAAAATAAGATATTTTGCCTCTATCTTTTGGAGCCAACTATTGACACATACCCATCTCCATCATATAAACGGGAATTATTATTATCTCTAGTTTTTCCTGAAATGTTTATAAGTGTTCCTATAAAACTATCACACACATTTTTCTCCACATGCATCACATCAAGACAATGTCTTACATCAATGCTAGACCAATATGGAAGATCAAAGAACACATACCTCTTTTTCTAAATACTTCTCTCAACGGGACAATCTTTATTCTTTCCAAAGACAAAAATAGAGCGTTCTTGTCGTTGGTAAACTCCACCGCCAATTAAAGGTTTAAGAGTGATTTCAAACTTCTGCTCTCCGTTAAAAGCCTTCCACAATCTACGATAAGGATGATTGGGTTTTCAAAATTTACAATGCCCAAGGTAAATGATATTTTTTCCAAACTCAAGCTGGTGAAAACATGTATTAGATTCATATATAGGACACACTTTATGTCCTTTGACACTGTATCCAGCCAAATTACCATATGCAGGAAAGTCATTGATTGTGCAAAATAACATTGCACATATCTTAAACTTTTCAGCAGAATGTGCATCATCAACATTAACACCTTTATCCCTAAGAAGTTTTAAAGCCTCAGTTAATGGACTTATATAAACATCTATGTCATTTCCAGGTTGTCTTGGTCCAAAAATCATGATACTTAACATCATATACTTGCGCTTCATGCTCAACCAAGGAGATAAATTATAAATCGTGAGAAGAACAAGCCACAAAGAATGGTTAGTACTCAGATTACCAAAGGGGTTCATTCTATCTATGGGAGGTCCAAGCCTGAGGTTTCTTGGCTCAAGGCCCAAAGCTTGAAATAATGAATCAATTTTCTTCCATTGCAAAGAATCAACTTCATAGCGAATGTTTCCAACATATTTTATTTCATCTGCGTGCCATCTAATATTATTTGCGTCAATCATATTAGAAAAAAAGTATCTTGAACCTTGAAATTATTGGAAAGTACCATATCATTTTAGAAGGAGGTTGCTTCTTACTAATATTGTCATTGTCATCAGCATTGTTGTTCTTCAACTTGTAGTGCGACCCACCATATTTTGGACATTGATCCAAATTTTTATACTTTTTCTTGTATAATATGCAATC